CACCCTCCAGAAATTGTGAATGGGCGCCCCATTGCTCCTTCATAATAAAAACATTATTTCTGTAAATATATGTTCAATCCTGATTCTTCCCTTCCTTTAAATTGCAATTTAGGGGAATTGATTTACAAATTTTGCAGGTGATCTGTAAGGCAACCTGTAAATGGTTCCACACTTATGGTTATAAATACATCATTCAATGAAGCTTCATGAGGCTTCAGTTATAATGGCTAGTGTTGCTTTACCATTTATTTCATGAGAATGTTCATATCAAAATAGTATCATTATGAATTTCTAATAATATGCAAATGATTTTCTTTTAGTGAACTCAATACGTAACTACATCTATATCAACAAAATATATTAGAGGATTGGGATTTTTTTAATATTCATACAAATCTTCAAAACTTTAACGGCACATAGAGAATGTGTGTCTCCACACTATTTCTGATTAATGTCAATGAGAGAGAATTCAAAATTGAAGTAATTTTGCAGTCATTTTTACACTAAACCTACTTTTGAACTACACACTTATTTTTAGAGATTTTAAATTCAGACAAAGGAAATATGAAGAGCCAAATTTAGAAAATTAAGAAAGAGTAAACAAAAATTCTTTAATAGCGGTTGGTATGAATGTATGTATGAAAATAGCATTTATTAGTAAAAGTTAGTTATAAATGTATTACAATAGAAAAGGCAAGACTTTGTTAATTGGTTAAAACATGTTTTAAAGCATGTTATTACAAAGTGCTACATTATTAGCTAAAAGTGTATTGCAACATGCACAGAAAAAGGAAACTCACTTACCAGTAGCATGCTAGTTAGGAGCGTGCTAAATTACCATTTTAACAAGTCAGATTACTTGGCCCGACTGTCATGCCCTAGGCAGAGCACAATACATCTGTCAGGTAAGACACAAAACTTCCCGCAAATTTATATTTTTCCTATCAAAAAGGAAATGTACAGGAGATTTCTTCACTGTCTGTACAAGTTTTCTTCCCAATATATTCCATTTTTATTAAAGAACAGTTTTCTCATAAATGAAGCATTTGAATAGATTTTAATTAAAATAATTTCATTAACAACACAAACACTGCCTATATTACATTATATTCTTTCTTTTTAAATGAAAAGTGAGTAACACTATAAACACTTTTATAACCTATATTCAGAATCAAAGGTTGTGTTACATTTTGTACTTGGTTTTATACTTTTACAATCTTACTAAAATGACAAAGACACAATTAATGGTTATATGTGGCCCTGGAACCGTATTTCTTGATTGTTCATGAGTTATGAAGACAATCTTCTGTACTGGCATGAACATCTAATAGATTAGAAGCAATTACTTTTGCAATGATAGCTTTTCATCATTATGCATAAGTTAACTAAAGCAGCAAGGGATTTCTAAAAAGTGAATTTGTTTATTCCAGAATGAAGAGTTTCAGCTTCCATAAAAAAGGAAAGGTTTTTAAAAGACAAGTCACAATCAAATGAAAATACCATTCTTCTGACAGGCAACAGACAAGTCTGTATTTCAATAACAATATTTTTTATCACTTGAGAGATTTCCTTGCAAAAGTAGTTCCTGGAGGTAAAGATTGAAAATACTGAGAATATATTACCATTTTATTATTACTTATATACTTCTCTAATTATTGGTATGTAAAAAAAACTAACTGAAGTGATTAGTTCTTTCAGTTTGGAAAAGTAATATTTTGTATTGATATCACAAAAACTAAATATATTTAGTAATAAAGTTAAGGTAAAATTACGTTGTGCAGGAACGCAGAGTGTTGGTCTATGTTTGATAGCAGTTAGATAAGAGCTCTTGCATCAATGCCTTTCACATATTTCTTAAAAATCTTATGCCATACTAATCGTAGAAGCTACATTTACTTTTCCTTTATATTTTAAGTTCAAATAAAATTGTATTATTTTATTTACAAAGCTATCTCAGATGTATTTTTAACATTGTTATTTTTAAAATTTAAAAATAAACACACCATTGGATTGTAGCATTATATTATGATCTCTATTTTTTTTATTTTTTTAAAAATATTATTATTCATTTTTTCTTTTGAAAATAGCTTAAAAATATTGGACAGGTTTCTTGCACTATGTTCATCTGAAATTTCAATTCTTGGTAACCAATTCATTAAAATAATAATTCTAAGTTTGAATACAAACTTTTCAAAATCAACTCAAATTTTTTTAAAATCTCCTCATTATAATTCTCCTCAACCATGAATTAGTTTATATCACCAAAATATTAGAATAAATGTACATATAACATAAATGCATTATAAGAACACTACTATTATGCACAGCAATAATTATATAT